AAATTGCTTGCATTTTAGATGTCTTTTATAAAAAACAAAACAAAACAAGTGCTGTTTAATTTAATCATATAATTCCATATACTGCAAAAACATTTATTTTGAAGGTTTCTTATGCTCGTCCAAGTTCTGAAGTTATCAAAGATGCTAACTTGTACATTAGTGGACTTCCGAGGTCAATGACACAAAAAGATGTAGAAGATATGTTTTCACGGTTTGGACGCATCATCAACTCGCGTGTACTTGTGGATCAAACCACAGGTAAGCATAATTATGTTAGGTACATAAAAATTTGACTTTACAAGGTGCACAGAAACGTCTAATTTTTTTTTTATTGATTTTTTTTTTAAAGTTGGTTAGAGCCTTGAACTAATTTAAAATTTTCCTGGTAGTTTTATGTGCTAAAAAATTATGGAGTCCAATATTGATCACTGTGTCCATGGAAAGACCACTTGAATTTTCTGAAATAGTCTTTTTGTAGGTGACGCTCTAAATTGATCAGTTAATGTTTTCTCATTGCTTCAGGCTAGTGGTTTTCAACGTTTTTCAGCTGCAGACCCCTAAAAAATTTTGAATGGCGGTGCAGATGCCTTTGAATTGTAAGTGTAATTATTCACATACTTTTGCAAGATCATAGTCATCTCTCACAGATCCTTTTAGATAAAGACTGCCAACCCCCAGGGGTCTGCGGACCAGGGGTTGAAAACCACTGCTGTAAGTAATCGGTTTACAATCTAAAAAATCAAATTAGATTACCTTTTCTTTTCTCTATAGAATTACAAATATTTTTTTAGAATTAAAATCCAGCCTATCCATTATGTATGACTATGACAGGTGTTTTCAATCTGTTTGTCATTTATTGTGTTAAATATTTATTAACTTCATCTTCTTGATAGATTTTTTTATATTAGGTTTTGTAATAGAAGGGGGAAAAAAGTACCTTCATAATCTGAATCTTTGACTTGGCACACCCCGAGCACCCACTCCCATACTGTGCGTGCTAAAAGGGATGAGAAGCATCTCCCTTTCATTTAGAATGCATCACTTAAAACTCAGGGCCTCATCCCACTCACCTGTTAAGTGCTTAGGGCCCTTGGCAGATATTAAAATTAATGGTAGGATTCATATCTGAAGGATCTTATACCCTGTTTCCAAAATCATGCATCCTGTGCCCTGCCATGTTTGGGCTGAGGCATAAAATTATTTAGATCCTGGTTATACCACTGCAGGGTTGCCAGAACCCCGTCCTATGGATTGGGCAGGGAGCAGCTCCATCGCAGACCTCATGGCTGCTTCAGCCTATTCCCTGGAGATCAGCCCAGGGGTAGCCCCAGGGGGTGGTCCAGTGCTTGTGGCGATGGTTGACAGTGGGCAATGGCCTGGACAGCCCTGGGTCCAGTTGGAAACCTAGGAATGTCTGGGCCACTTCTGACAATCAAGCGATTGTGGGTGCTGGCCTTAGAGTCCTGGGTCTGGTTCCAGACCCCAGACTGTCTGGGACTGATGCTGACAGTCAGTTGATTACCAGCACCAGTGGAACAGGCCTGCTGTGAAATGCCCTGCAAGCCACAGGTGGTGGAGGAAGCACTATAAAGAATAGGATCACACTTAAGACCTCTAAGTCCATGGTAATGCCTAAGAAGTGTAGTAGGATATGTTCTTGGCCTTGTCTGTCACATGGAATACCTTGTGATGCAGGGTAATAATCACTGTTTGAGACGTGGATCTATGTTGCCAATGTCTAATTTAGTGAGCAACTTGGAAGATAAACTCATGAAAGATTGTGTGTGTGTGTGCTTTCTGGATCCCAGGTGGCTTTGATTGTGTAGTAGTTGAAGGAGACATACTGTCTACATGGTGGAGCTAAGCTAGTCATTGCACATGTAGCACAATAGTCTTTCCCTTCAAACCACTGGTAACACATACATGCATTCAGAGTTTTTCTTTTTTTTCTTTTTTCTTTTTTTAAGTTCAAAATGCTTTTTTCCCTAAACCTTATAATTTGGACCAGTTGAAACCAGGCTTTCACCAGAGCGCACAGACTTCTCCACCAGGTTTCTGCAAGATCCGTTCAGGGACATCACAGCCAGGTGGAACTGCCCTGCTTGCTTTCTTTGTGGGAGGAGCATGTGAGGTCAGACTGAAAAGCAGCTGTGGTGGCAAGTGAAGGTACTTCTGTCTGCGTTAGGTTTACCAGATAAAACTAATGCAGGCACAAGGATGCGCTTTTGCCACAGGCACTTCTTGATCTGGCTGCACACAAGGAATGTGGGATACTTTCACCAAGGTGCGTCAGCATTGGCAGCACATTGGTTGGGGATCATGGAGGTAAGTTGAGGCAGTACAGCAGTAGTTCTTAACTGGAGTGATGCCAGGCTATGAAAAGTTATGGAGGGGGGTGCCTTGAATTAATCTAAGAAGGGTAAGAACCACTGACTTAGACAATGCTTCTCAGTGAAGGCTCTTCCCCTGCCAAGTTCCAGCTTTCTACTTCTAGTCATTTTGGAAGTTCATTTGTCTAAAAATAGTTATACCTTGATACTTACACTTTTAACTGAAGAGTAAGGTAGGACAAAAGAGAAGTATAGCACAGGAGTGGAAGAGAAGTGAGATTTGTACATCGGACTCTTGCCTAGGACCTGTTGAACCCTGCAGGTATGTAATATCTGTTACAAGGATATAAGTGTGATTTCTCCCTAACATAGGAGTATGCCCTTCTATATGATGCACGGGATGTGTGAGAACATAATAGTATTAGTGTTCAGTAATAATATTAATAATAATAATCACCAGTGGTTAGTTTGGTCCAGTCCGTTTTCTGATTGTGATTGACCAGTACCAGATTCTTCAAGATGCAGAAAATCTCATAATGGTATAGCAAGTTCATGGCATTGCCCATCCCACCAAACTTTTTGGAGAGGCTAGTGTTACTGTTGGCACTTGCCAGTCAGAGTCCTTGCAGTCAGGAGTAAATAATGACATGCCTAAATCAGAGCTGTTTGCTTCCTTCCCAGGGCAGGGATTAAGGAAAAGGAGGGCATTGCTCTGTCTCAGTCTTTGACTACTACAGAATCGTACAGGGTGCATCTGCACGTTCAGTTAGTGTGGCATGATAAACTCTGGCGCAGTTTGAACCACAGTTAATGGACCCAGAGTGCAGTGTTTACATATGTGCCCAGGACTGCAGCAGTTTGAGCCAGGGCACAGCAGTCCTGGGCTGGCAGCAGGTTTTTTGAGGGGGAAAAGGAGGGGTCTACCCTGGGCTTCAAGTCACAGTATCAGATGGCAGAGAGGCTGGCTGGGGCACAAGAGTGCCCAAAGAACAGAGCCGTGTGGCTAGGCAGTAGTCAGGGGTCTGGCCCCTGCTGCCCGCACTGACCAGGCACAATTTGTGCCTGGGTCAGCATTTACACGTACGTTATGGTGCAGTTATTTTCACTGCTTTAAGATAGTACTGTCGGGGACAATACTGTTTTACGGCAGCAGAAATTAGTTTGCTGCAGTCTAAGTATCACGTGCAGACTGTGATGCTTTACACTGCAGCAAATTAATCTACTGAGCGATTAAGCACATGTGGGTGCATCTACACAATGTTGTAGGTAAAGACCCATGCTTATTTTCCCAGCTCTTTCATTTGTTTGATTCATGGCCAAAGGTATGACTATTAAATTATACTCGTCTTTAAAATGCAGGCCATAACGTTCACTTACCTTTTACCAAGAATTTTGCTATCTGTTATCTGATAAATGGTGTATGCACTGATTTTTTTTTTTTTTTTTTTTTTTTTTAAAGGCTTTATACCATGATTGTTATTGGACCTATCTACACATAACATATATTAGAAACATGGATCATCTCATCTTCAAATACATACCTTAGAAGAAAAATGTTGATAGGAGGGCTCTTATGTACAGACAACATAAGAGATACGATGGCTAGAAGTTAACGCTAAACACAATTGAAATTTAAAAATTATGATAGCATTATTGAACAGTAAAAGTAGTAAACTTTTGGAACATTTTACCATCCTTTACCATAAATTGAAGCCTTTAAATTAAGGTAGTCTAAGTGATACTCAAAACACTACCCAAAGTAATTGGCTTGAATCCCTAGGAGAAATTTTGAGGCTCATGTTACATATACAGGTGTGTGAGAAAATGGTCATCAGCATAGATACTCATCTCCTTTTTGAAAATCAGCTTACATTTTAGATCTGCTTTGAATAACATAATTAAGCAAAGAAAACCCAAAGAAGACTTCCCCAGCATTATTTTTAACACAGTGGAGTTACCCCCAATTTTTTTGTTTGAGAAAATTTAATAAAAACATTGGCTTAATACTGCATTTCCATAACACCACTCACACTGCATAATTTTGACTTCAGATTCTAAGCAAAGTTGTATTTTCATTGCTAGGATCACTACATGGTTGAAATAAATGTGTTAATTTAGTTTTTATTTATTTGCATGCATTATTTTTAGCTGTTGAACGAGCCATCAATAAAATAATGAACCTTAGAAATGGTACTTATTTTGGAGGTTTTCACTTTTGAAATTATTCCGAGTTAATCCTGAGCTGCCTTTTTTTCCTTTTTCTTTTTTCTTTCATTGATTTGGTTAAAAGGTTTGTCCAGAGGGGTTGCATTTATCCGGTTTGACAAAAGGTCAGAAGCAGAAGAGGCAATTACAAATTTCAATGGTCACAAACCCCCGGGTTCTTCCGAACCCATTACAGTGAAGTTTGCAGCCAATCCTAACCAGAACAAAAACGTGGCACTGTTATCACAACTATATCATTCATCAGCTAGACGATTTGGAGGGCCAGTTCATCACCAAGCACAAAGATTCAGGTAGGTTAGAAAGAAGATTCTGTCCAAAACCTGCACTGTCATTCCCACTTTCACCTGGAAAAATGTTACATTGTCTCAGCAGTAAATATTTTCATGTGAATAACAAAAATATATATACTGTATATTCTTAGTGTTAAATAAATAAATGACTGAATTAGAAGGTGGTTAAGATAAAATCTTAGCTTTGTATCATTTTTCATATAACAACAAAATTAAAGGGAAGCTACACTTAATTTCTACAAAATAATATACAGTGAGAAAATAAGATGTGGCAAATTCCTGATGGTTGATCAGAGAGATGTCTCTCAACAGATCTCCATTCTTTGGTCCGTCCCTGAGTTACAGATAGGATATGGTAACTTAATCAAAGTTCTGAAGCTTTGGTTCCAACATGAGGGTATGCCATCCCGTGTCAGGAGAACCGTTCTCTCCCAAGGGTATCACTAGTCATTTCCTCTTTGATTTATAGTTGTAAGAGTTTTCATGGGATTCTGATCTGTCTCTTCAGCTGCACTGTGATCTGTCTGTCCTTTTTTTTTCTCTTGTATGAACTCGGCAGGTGAGTTCTTTGCTTCTAGTGTTCCCCACTAGTCATTTGAAAAACAAATGAAATAGTCTGCAATTTCTAAGGAACAGATTTCAGTGGAGGTTCGCTGTTGGCTTTCTCTCTTCCCTGGGGGAATAGATCTTGCTGCCTCCTCTTCTGCACTACTAAATCTAACTCTGATTTTAATAAATAGTGTCTTCCATATGAGTGTATCAGGACTCTCAGCACTGACTTTGTTCTTTCTTTTTTGGCTTTCCTATTTTTAGGGGATCGATCTCTTTATGTTGTATGTGGGACTGGTGGCTACCCTGATTACTCAAAGCAGGGGAGTGAGGCTGGTTGAACCAACTCAAAGTGGAAATTTGGCCATGTTACTAGAGAAGAATGAGTTTCACATGGGCAGATTAGGAGAAAATTAGTAAGGCCAAGGAGTGATTTAAGATGCATCTAGCAAGGAATGCAAAAGGCAATAAAAATTATTCTACAAGTATGTAAGAAGTAAGAAGATGACCAAGGAAAGTAGGTCTCTTGCTGAGTGCAAAGGATTATGTGAAGAAGGCTTGAGTATTTGATGCCTCTCTTTATTTCAGTCTTTGCAAATAAAGTCAGCTATTAGATAATAAATGTAGTTGGCAGCAAGGATGGGGGAAGAGATGAAAAGCCTAGAGTAGCGGAGGAATAGCTTAGAGGTAACTTCAAATTTTCATGTCAGGAGGATCAGATGGGATGCATCCTAGAGAGTACTGAGAAAATGGCTGTGGTAATTTTGAGATGGCATTTTTTAGATGACTACCAATAGCCCTGTAACAGATAAGATAAGAAGACCAGGCTACTGTATTCTAGGAAGACAAAGAAAGGACATAGTGCTTTCCTCCCAGTGCACTCCATCTTTCTGTAAGATGGGTACCTGAGAAGCATCTCTGCAGGAATGTCAGCATCTATTCTTTCCATCCCCTTCACAGATTTCAGTAGGCTAGGCCAGTGATTCTCAACCAGGGTGCCAGGAATGTGAGGAGACAAGCAAGGTGTGAGAAGATAAGTAGATAAGGGCAAGCTCAGGCTCTCCCTGCCTGACTGCTTCTTTACCCCCAATGCCCAGCCCTTCTGTAAGGAGGCAAGCACTATAATAAATAATTTAGTTTTTGAAATGGAGTGCCTTTCAATTTACAAAAGTTTTTGGAGGGTGCCTAGAGTCTGATGGGGAGTGCCTTGAGCATAAAGAGGGTGTGAACTAGTGGGCTAGGCTTGAATTGGCTGAACTCCTAAATATGACTGTTCTTTTCACCTATGTGATTGAAAGAATAGTAGAGATGTCACTGGACAGAGGCATAACAGGGCAAACCAGTGCTGGTTGTTTTAATATGGAAGCCACCACCAAAATAGGTGTTGAGCAGCAGCAGCTTCCCTTGGGAGCAAGCCTCTGGCCAGTGTCAACCCCACAGCTGCTTCTCACCTGTTTCATGCCCAGCGCTGCGCTTAGCTGCCAGCAGCACTGCATGGCAGGTGCTAGAGGTGGAACAGGCTACACTTCGGCACCCCTCCCCCCTTAGGCAGCACCCAGGGGCTCATGCCCTGCTCATCCACCCATAGTTGTGCTCTTAGTTATTCATCCTGGCAGTCTGATAAGTAGCCTTATCCAAGAGCCTGTTTAAATCAGTGGAAAAGCTTCCAGAGACTTTAGTGGATGCTTATTTGAGCCCAGATGCATAAGGATGAGAATACCTGTATCCATCAGTGACAGTCCCTGAGGGCAGCATTCTGGATAGGCATAAAATGCTTGTTGCAGTTACCTCTTTCTAGTTTGCTTTAGAGACATCAGTTTTTAGTCTCTAAGAGTAAGAGGTCTGTTGAGTGTGTGTGGGTATCTATAGAGGACAGATAATCCAGGAATCTAGATCTGTTGTCATTTTGAGTTCTGAATCAGATTTTGTATTCAAGGCACGATAGATGTCCTTGTACAACCTCCTGTCTGGATGTCATTCCAGTGACAAATAAATCTGATCCAGTTGTGACTGAGGGTAGAGCCCTTTAAGAAAGAAGGTCCCTCTAGGAGCAAGTGTAGGGA